TATTAAAGAGAAAAAATTAACAGTGGACTTAAGAAACAATGAAAAATTATAGAGACGTTTTCTTAAATCTTCTGTTTAATAGAACGGAGGGTGAAATAGGAGGCAATTGGAGTTAATAACAATTGTTTCTATTGTTTGATATTACACAGTTTAATTTTATTTGCCAACTATGACAATATTTGATGTTAGTTATTGTTTTTGTTGTTGTAATATGAATTATTGTTGTAACATGTAGTAATTGTAATCAAATATGCTACTAGTACTAAATTACTGTTAAAACAAAGTAATATAATACATTTAAACAATATTAGAACTTGTAAAAAGAAGCCCAGCTAAGCTAAGACTTCACTAAAACAGCCGCAAGCGTTTAATGCCCTTTGTTTTATAGCAAAAGGGAAGGTATTCTTAAAAAAAATTTATACCTCTGGTCTGTTAATAATTTAATATAGATATAAAATATCTAGACAAACCTTCCCTTCTAAGGCAATTGCATGTTAAATTTGGTTACAGACAGTTTTATACCAACCACATCATTGTTGACGTTTGATTTATAAATTTATTAGTTATTATTCTTTAAGAAAAGAAACGAAAAAAAAAAAAATAATAATAATAGTAACAACAATTGTTGCTAACATTTTCATAAGTCAAGTTTGCAAAACAATAGCTGTACTAGTTATCTTTAAGATTATTTTGCCATAGGATCAAGAAAATGTTAAATTATTTTGTAAATTGTTATTTTATTATTTAGTAAACTATGAAGACATTAGTTTTTTTTTTTTGAATAATAAGCAAATTATGTTTAGTTAACACCCACTTTATTTGAAGGTCATATTGCTATTAGAACCACTAAAAGCAATTCAATAATTTTTGTAGAAGAAACACCATATTTTATTAGATCTAACAAAAATATATTAAAATAACATTCTATAGTGTTTGAAAATTCTATAATTAGCAAAAAGTTTAAACATAAACTTTACATCATACATGTTCTTTATATTTTGCAAATTTTCCCTAAAAATTGCTAGATACTAAATGTGAAGTTTAGTTCCTAAGTCTTTTTTGTTTACATTTGAGAAGGACGCCATTAGCAGTATTTTTTTCATTTATCATGTATTTCACTGAATGGTAAATAAAGTTTGTGACTTAAGTCTTTATTATTTACATTTGAAAAGGACGTCATTATCTATCTCATCACTCAAAAATAAAAAACTCATGTAAATAAAGTTTGTGTCTTAAGTCATTCTTGTTTACATTTGTAAGTCAGCCACTGAAGTGTTGGTAGCTTACGTCTTTGATGTTTTTTATTTACATTTTGAGAGAGGAAAAAACACAGGGAGACTTTAGTTATTGTTATCATTTAAATAATGTCTTTGTATAGAAAAATCGTGTTTAATTTATTTAAATTTTTATTTTTTTTTTGTCCTAGAGCATTAAAAGCAGATGTTTGTTTTCTTTCATAAGTTTAATATAAATTAATTAATTATAGATTATTGTTGATAATAAACACTTAAGCTGTTAGTTAATAATAAGTAGGGGCTTGGCTTTTTAACAAATAATATTATGAAGTATTTAATATTAATCATACGTCATTGTTTATGAGAAAATTTACTTTTTCTTTTGTGCAAATGATTGTCATATTTGGATCAGACCTGTCCGAAAGGTAAACTGATATTAAATGTGTAATTTATTTTAATGCAAAAGTAATTTTACACTATTACTGAGGTTTGTAATGTTAAGCATACTTTTATGGAAATATTTTCCGACATTTATAATTGTCTTGATTGCAATTGACATGTAATGGTGTAAATTTCAACAAAAACTAGGATTTAGGGAAATAATTAGGTCATCATTGTTAAAAAACTTTGTTGAAAAGAAATGAAAAGACTGAATTGACTAACTAAAGAAAGAAAGAAAGAAAGAACCAAAAGAAAAAAAGAAAGAAAAGAAAGAAAAAAGAAAGAAAGAACGAAAAGAAAGAAAGAAAGAACAGAAAGAAAATAAAGAACGAAAGAAAGAAAGAAAGAAACTAAAACAAAGAACTAAACGAAAGAAAGAAAGAAAGAAAAGAAAAGAAGAACGAAAAAAAGAAGAAAGAAAAAAAAGAAAGAAAAAAGAAGAAAAAAAGAACGAACGAAGAAAGAACTAAAAGAAACGAAAAAAAGAAAGAAAAAAACGAACGAACGAAAAAAGAAAAACGAACAAAGAAAGAAAGAACGAACGAATAACGAAAAAACGAACGAACGAACTAAACGAAAACGAAGAACAACGAACGAACGAAAAGAAAACGAACGAAGAACGAACGAACGAACGAAACGAACAATAAGAACGAAGAACAAAAACTAAATAACGAACGAAAAAGAACTAACGAACGAAACGAAAGAAGAACTAACTAAACGAAAGAACGAAAACGAACGAACGAACGAACTAACTAAAAGAACTAAAGAAATAACGAACTAACTAAACAAAGAACGAACGAAGAACGAACGAAAACGAACGAACGAACGAAAAAGAACTAATAACAACGAACTAACGAACTAAGAAACTAACGAACTAAAAAAAACTAACTAACGAACTAACTAAGAACTAACTAACTAAACTAACAACTAACTAACTAACTAACTAACTAACTAACAACTAACTAACTAACTAACACTAACAAACAAACTAACTAACTAACTAACTAACTAACTAACTACCTAACTAACTAACTAACTAACTAACTAACTAACTAACTAACTAACTAACTAACTAACTAACTACAAACTAACTAACTAACTAACTAACTAATTAACTAACTAACTAACTAACTAATTAACTCACTAACTAATAGGTTTCTTCAGTAACTTTTCTTATAGAAAAGTTTCTTCAGAAATTATTGTTATAGAAAAGTTTCTTGAGAAAGTTTTCTTTTAGAAAAGTTTCTTGAGAAAGTTTTCTTATTGAAAAGTTTCTTGAAAAAGTTTTCTTTTAGAGAAGTTTCTTTTAAAAGTTTCTTTAGAAAGCTTTGTTATAGAAAAGTTTTTTGAAAAAGTTTTTTATAGAAAAGTTTCTTTTGAAAGTGTTTCTTAAGAAAGCTTTTTATAGAAAAGTTTCTTGAGAAAGTTTTCTTTAAGAAAAGTTTCTTGAGGAAATGTTCTTATAAAAAAGTTTCTTCTTTTCTTATAGAAAAGTTTCTTGAGTAAGTTTTCTCATAGAAAAGTTTCTTATAGAAAAGTTTCTTGAGAAAGTTTTCTTATAGAAAAGTTTCTTGAGAAAGTTTTCTTAAAGAAAAGTTTCTTGAGAAAGTTTTCTTAAAGAAAAGTTTCTTGAGAAAGTTTTCTTAAAGAAAAGTTTCTTGAGAAAGTTTGTTCTTGAGAAAATTGTTATAGAAATGTCCTTAAGAGTGTTTTTTTAAGAAAGATTTCATATAAAAAAGTGTCTGTACAAAGTTTTCTTATAGAAAAAATTAATACCTCTCAAAATTAAAAAAATCAATATTTGAAAACTTCTTTTTCAACGTTTTTACAAAAATGCACTTGACATATAAACCACTTCCTTTTTATATTGACAAATTCTAACTTTATATAAACATAAACAAAGGCTAAGTTTAAAGAAAAAATCAAAGTAATTTTAAGAAAATTTTATTAAATGTATTGTTCTTTAGGCAATATTACGTTATTTTGAAAATTATGTAATAAAGACTAAACATGACCCTTTAGTATAACACTTCCGCCCTAAATTTAGCTAGGCCTAAGCATTTTTCCAAAACCTAATGAACAAGAAAATTATAGTTTTACTAGAAAAATTGTGTGTCTTTTTTAAGGTAATGACAAATTTTTGTTAATACATTTTCTTTTAATAAAAATTTAAACTGCAATCTACTAATAGATAATATTACAGTTATGTTTGTTAAGAAATGTATGGAAAAAAAAACGCCAAAGTATGTTTTAATGTTTGTATTACATTTTGAATAATGTAATTGAATCTTTAAAATATGTATTACATATAATATTTCATTTGCAAAATTGCAAAAAATGCCGCTTTGAAAAGATGAAAAAAATTGAGGGCTTTTTAAGTTGGTAGCAGTAGCAGCAAATAGTTAATCATAATGAAAGCGTTAGGCGTTAAGCTGCAAAGAGAAATAATTTTTCCATTAAATTGAATTTATAAAGAAAAACTTGATTTTATTTCTTTAATTTTGTTTTAAAATGTTTTTTTTTAATTTTTAAGAATTTTTCTTGGCTTTTTGGTAATAAAGCATTTAATTTTAGTTATTTGTAATAAATGTTTTAATTCTGATGTATTTTAATATGTTTTTTAACAAATTTTGCTTATTTTCTTTCAAAAATCTCTTTTAAATTAAATTTTTCCTTATTTTCTTCATTTTATTTAAGAATCAAGTGTTTTTCGTTCATTTTTGCCGTGTAAACAAAGTTCGTGTCTTAAGTCTTTGTTGTTTACCTTTTGGCAAGTCAGCCATTATGAGTTTTCTTGCTTAAGTCATTTCTGTTTGTTTTGTTTACTTTTAATTTAACGGCAACAAAAAGAGAGCCACTCATAATAAAGTTTGTTGCTTAAGTCTTTGTTGTTTACATTGCAATAGCAGCCATTGTGAGGTTTCTCGCTTAAGTCTTTATTGTTTATGTTTGGCTTTTTATGTTAAAAGAGAAAAATAAAGAATTTTACTTTATTTATTTAGAATTTTATAAGGTTTTCTTAAATTTTTATATAAATATTGTTATTTTAGATATAAATTAATAGTTTCTTAAAGAAAATTTAACATTTTAATAAAATTTTTATTAGTTTTTATAGACGTTTGTTGCTTAAATTCTGTTTTTTTCATTTTTTATATTTTCTTAAGTTTGATTGTTTGCTATATTATTGTCGTTTGCTGATGATGATAGTTTTTAGTTAAAGTCTTGTTGCATATGAAAAATTTTGCTGCTGCAACTGCTCTGCTGCACCCTCGAGTACTTTAATTTTTAAAGTATAAATAATGCACTGTTTGGTTGAATTAAACATCAAAAACAATTAAGTATTCAAACAAATAAGATCGTGATCTTAATAAGTTATCAAGTAATAAACAAATAAAAACAACAACAAAATGAAATACTTCGTAAGTGAAAATAAAAAGAACAAGGATTTGAAGAAAAAAGCCAAACATTTTAAGTGATAATTAGAAAAAGGAGTAAATTTTTTTGGCAAAATTTTTAAAAAGTGAAAACTTTCAAAAAAATCCTTAAAATTTTGAATTTTTTTAATTTTGAATTATAAAAATTTATTAAAAATTTTAAAAACATTGATTTTTAGTCAATTTTAAAAAGGTAGCATTTCTACTACTTTTTTCAAAAGTGGTTTAAGCATGAAATTTTTACTGAAAAAAATTTGCCATTAAAGCATAATCTAAACATTTTTGAGGATTTTTAAAAAAGTAGTATTTCTACTACTTTTTTCAAAAGTTGTTTAAACACAAAATTTTTATAGAAAATCGAAAACTAATCCCTTTAAAGCATAATACAACTATTTTTGGACGCATTTAAAAAAGTAGTATTTCTACTACTATTTTGCAAAAGTTGTTTTAAACACAAAATGTTTATAGAAAATCGAAAATTAATCCCTTTAAAGCATAATACAACGATTTTGGGTATATTTAAAAAGGTAGTATTTCTACTACTTTTTTGCAAAACTTGTTTAAATACAAAATTTTTATAGAAAAACGAAAAATATTAACTTTAAAGCATAATAAGAACATTTTTGGGGATTTTAAAAAAGTTAGTATTTCTACTACTTTTTTGCAAAATTTTTCTAGAAAATCGAAAAATATTGCCTTTAAAGCATAATCTAAAGATTTTTGGGAATTTTTAAAAAGGTAGTATTTCTACTACTTTTTGCAAAACTTGTTTAAACACAAATTTTTATAGAAAATCGAAAACAATTCCCTTTTTTGAAGTTTTTTAACAAAGTAGTATGTATTTCTACTACTTTTTTCCAAAACTTTCTTTAAAACAAATTCAAACTAAAACATGAAATTTAATTTATTTTTAATGAATTTGCAAAAAGTAGTATTTTACTACTATTTTGAATCTAAGTTTTTTTTTAAATTTTTTTATTAAAAAACTTACTTTTTCCCCTTTTTCAGAACGTTTTGTGCATTTTCGTTTTCATCGCCTTGTTTGCCGTCAACCAAGCTGCTGAATTGCAGGATGCTGAATCCTCGGTAGCGGCCAAGAGTCCCGAGAAACGTGGCATTTATGGCTTTGGCTATGGTCATGGTTTAGGCGGTTATGGTGGCGGCTATGGTCTTGGACATGGTCACGGTTACTATGGCGGTCATGGCTATGGTTATCCTTCTGTCGGTTATGCTGTACATGCTGCTCCTCTTATTGGTCATGGTCATGGATTTGGCGGGTTTTGGTTATCATGGTCATGGTTTCTATCATTAAGCATAGTTTTGCTAACACCATCAAAAAGTGTGTAAATTTGTGAAAAGAAACAGGTTTTTGGAGACACTGCCTCCCAAAGGGGTCAGTTTTTGTAAATATTTAAAGAAATAAAATGAGAAATTTATAAAATTTTTGGAAAAGAAGAAAGCTTTTTATTAAGAAATTGTTACGATTTCTTGTGAATATAGAAAAAGTAGTAGTTCTACTACTTTTTCCAAAAGTAGTATTTGTACTACTTTTTTCCAAAAGTTGTTTAAAACACCAAATTTTTACAGAAAATCGTAAAACTTTGCATTCAAAGCTTAATATAAACATTTTTGGAGGTTTTAAAAAGGTTGTATTTTTAGTACTATTTTTAAAAGTGCAGAGTAAGGCAAATTTTTGTTAGAAATCGATGAGAATCTTGTAAAACTTCATTTCCCATAGAAATTTAATGATTTCTGCCGATTATAAGAATAGTAGTATTTCTACTACTTTTACCAAAAGTTGTTAAAACGACAAATTTTTACAGAAAATCATAAAATATTGCATTCAAAGCTTACTATAAACATTTTTGGAGGTTTTAAAAAAAGGTAGTATTTCTACTACTATATTTAAAAACTGCATTTTAAGGCAAATTTTTGTTGGATATCAATGAGAATCATGTAAAATTAATTACCCATAGAACTTTAATGATTTTTGTTGAATTTAAGAATAGTAGTATTTCTACTACTTTTTTTCAAAAGTTGTTAAAACATAAAATTTTTACAAATAATTATAAAACAGTGCATTCAAAGCTTAATATGAATATTTTTGAAGGTTGTTAAAAAAAGGTAGTATTTCTACTACTATTTTTAAAACTGTACGGTTAGACAAATTTTTGTTAGAAATCAATGAGAATCTTGTAAAACTTCATTTCCCATAGAAATTTAATGATTTTTGTTGATTATAAAAATAGTAGTAGTTCTACTACTTTTTAAAAAATTGTTAAATACCGATTACTACATTTTTCAAAAGTTGTTAAAACATAAAATTTTTTCCGAAAATCGTAAAATATTGCTTTTAAAGCTAAATATGAACATTCTTGCGGATATTAATAAAGGTAGTATTTCTACTACTTTTTTAAAAACATAATATTTATAAAATTTTAAAGGAATTTTTATAAGAAATCAATGAGCATCTTGAAAAACTGGATTTCGCATAGAAATTTAATAATTTTTGTTGAGTATAAAAAAGTAGTATTTCTACTACCTTTTTCAAAAGTTATTATAACATCAAAGTTTGGCCACAAATGGAAAAATATTACCTTTAAAGCATAATATGAACATTTTGGAGGGTTTTAAAAAGGGTAGTATTTTTACTACTTTTTTAAAAAGTTTATAAACCTAAAATTTTTACCCAAAAATCTAATAATATTGACTTTAAAGCTAAGGTTGAACATTTTTGTGGGTATTAAAAAAGGTAGTATTTCTACTACTTTTTTAAAAACTTGTTAAAATATCAAATTCTGGCCGCAAATGGAAAAATATAGGATTTAATGCATAATAAATACATTTTTGGCGGTTTTAAAAAACGTAGTTTTTCTACTACTATTTCAAAATGTTTACAAAAATCCAAGTTTTTGGCGGCTAAAATAAATATACTTTATTTTTTAAGCTTTTATTAATAGAATAAAGTTCGAAAACTTTAAAAAATAATTAAATTAAACAATAAAACAAAAAAATTGTTAAAAAATTCTAAATAAATTTAAACACTTAACAAGTTTTAAAATAAATAAAACTCAATTTAAACAATTCTTACTTTTAACAGCTTAAGTTGTTAACAATTTACGTTTTCTTTCTAATTTAAGTTCCCGTTTCAAAGCTTTCTGTTCCAACTCCTCAGCATGTTCAGCGAACAATGAGCGCATGGCGGGATACATTAAATGAAAATGTTCTAGATCTTTTAAAGAAACTTGCATATTATCAAAAGCTATGGAAACATTTTGCATTGTATTGGTTTCTTTAGTTTCCTTATCGTTTAAAGAATCTGTGGAGGAAGTTAGTTGCAATCTAGGTAATTTGGCATAACGTTGAGAAAAGTGTGTTAAAATAGTGTGCTGAGCCTGCATTAGCTGACCCTGTTGTATAGCCTGGGATATGGTGCTGTGGGTTTTGATTTTAGCCTCCTCCTCTAGATCATCTTCCATGGTGGCCTCGTGTATTAATATTTGGGAATTTAAGCCTAAATCGATTAAATCTTGACAGGGCATAGTATCGCCACTATAAGTGATTTTAATGGGGTTCTTCAAGTCCTGTGGATTCAAAACATCCACTCTAACACCAAAAGAGTGAGGGCAATGTTTTACTAAACAGGTTTTTATTCCAACCAAACCAAAATCTGTTTGGTTTTCTTTAAACTCCAAAGCTTCTTCCATTATTTCTGCATTTCCTATCAATTCATAGGAATTTTTTATATTTAAAATGCGTTCGTGATAGAAATTCAACCAGGGTTCAATTTGTTTGGGTGCCAGCAGTAAAACCTTTTCCATGTCCTCCTGATTACCCAATAATTTCAGTCTTTCTGTTAGTAATCCAATTAAACCAATATGATGATCGGCATGTAAGTGGGAAACATAAATACATTTGAGATTTTTGACTATTTCTTGCGCTTTGGAGCAGCCAAAGAATCTTTGTATTTGTCCTAGAGATCCCTCACCACAGTCCAGCAGTATAAAGGAATCTTCTTTGGCTTGTATTAAGATAGAACTAACATTGCGCGTTTTGTTGGGTATGCAGGAACCAGTACCCAAAAAGGTAATCACAGGATATTGTGGTGCGGTAACAGAGGCCTCCTTTAGATGCTTAAAATCCTCTTTAAGTTTTTGCAGTAAGGAGGGGAATTCCTCTAATACATGGGTCTCTTCTATATATTCTTGAGGAGAGAGTTTTACCTCCAAAGTGCGGTCTAAACCTAAAAAATTCATAGCCTATCAATAAAGTAAACCAAATTTATCTAAAATTCCCTTAAACTTACCTTTTCTGGGACGGAAATGATAATAACTCATGGCATTTAAGTCCATTAAATGTTTATCCTTATCGTCACTTTCTTTAACTCCATCCTTATCATTTAATTCATCTTCCGCCAATTTAGTTTTCTTCAATTTTGCACTTAAATTGTTAGACCAACTTGAAGCCTCCGCTAGCAAAGGAAATACTCTAGGATTTAACAAATTCAATTGATATTGTATACGATGAGCCGCTATATAACCCGAGAAAGTATTCTGCTCATTGTTCAAATAAATATGTTGCGTTTTGGCGGGAAACTGTTTAACAAAACTTTGATATAATTCATCTTTTATCACCTCCGCTGGGGAGAAATGTACTACTAAAGGCATTTGGGGGGTGTTATCGGTATTTATGTTAGTATTCAATAAAATCTCTCTATGCTTCTCCAAATTCCCCAAGAAATCTTTAGAAGGTATATCCAAAAACATAAAAGCTAAAGGATTTTCATTGGGTTCACTAACATCGGAGGATTTTACTACTGTACCATCCTCCAGTGTAACGTCTATACCATTTTTGAGTAAACCTAAAAGAGGACCGGGAGGCACTCCATGCTCTACACATTTTTCTAGGTTTAAAGCTCCTGGCCTGGGTTTTAGTTTGCATATATAGGTGATGGCTATTTGTTCTTCTGTACTGGCGGTGGCTAGGAAAGTTTGCTCCTCCTGCTGGGATTCTGTAAGACGATATAAAGGCACTGATTTCACTGACATAACGGAATCTTCAAAGTCTTGGATTTGGGTACGATCAACGGTTTTGAGCTGTAAACGGGAAAGGAATAAGAAAGTTTAAGTCGGACTATATAGATAGATTATAGTCTAGGTTATAGATTAGACTACAAACTGCACTATGTATATAGACTAGACTATAAACTAGACTATAAAATAGTATGTAGACTAGTCTATAAACTAAACTATAGACTAGACTACACTTTAGACTAGACAAAAGACTAGATTATAGACAACAAACTAGACTACTTGACCACTCACCTGTAAATTCTTCAACACCACAAAACGTTTCATCGAATACAATATATTCTCCAAATAGGGAGGACCATGTAAAGCCAATTCCTTAACACCAGCATCCTGAACTGTCAGAGCCAAGCCGGGAAATCCTCCTATAGCCGGCCAAGTATTGCGCGTCACGAAAATCTGTTCTAATCTAGCTAATTTTGTTTTATGTTCATGAGCCAAACGTTGGGTACCCTCGCCACAATTGAATAAATAACGTGATTGATCGGTAAACAAATAAACAGCTGCTGGGGCACCATTAGAGCCGGCACCCAAAATTTGCAAAGTAACAGTGCCGGGTATATAAGGTGTTGCTTTCTTTTTATTGGCCTGCTGTTGGCGTTCCTTGCGCAAAATGGGTTTACTATTTAGTTTATCCTTTGTTGATTGTTCCGCTGTCGAATTTTCAGACATTTTAGAAGATTTTTTCAGATTTGAGGCACTTTTTGTTAAAGGTTTTTGCGTTAGAAGTTCCTTGAGTAGTTCGTTAGTTTTGCCACGCACTGCGTTTCTTAAGGCGGTGAGCAACATTCGCGTTAGTTAGTTCTTAAGAAATCAAATGGGCTTTTTTATAAATCTAGGGTTTTTCTGCTGGCGTTTGGCACGCACGTGAAATTTTCAAAATGTTTATTTCATCAAGCAGGAGAGCGATTTCATTAGCTTAGAAACAGGGTTGGAAAGAGTTATAGTAATAAGATTAAACAAAATCAATACTACTTCTTAAGGTTTTACTTACTTTTTTTTATAAAATTTAATTAACTTTTTAAAATAATTTTAGTAAGAAGTTATTGTTTATTAAGAAATTTATTTTAACAAATTTTATTTTAATAAATAACAATATTTAGTTCATTATGTGTTCACTTATCCAGCTCTGGTTTTAAGTAAACAGCTGTTTTCTTAAAGTGTGAGAGAGTAATCCAAGAGATTAACATGGAGAAGAAACATAATCAAAACAAACGACAAAATTGTGTTTACACACATAAGGTTGGCAACGTTGAGGATTGTATTAGATACAATTTTTTTCCAAGAATTTCATTAAAAATTAAATAATTTAAATTAAATGTATTTATTTTTATCAATATTTCTCAAACAAATTGTTTTTATAATTGTTAAAGATATTTCACTATTTTTAGCTGCCACCCTGTTGCATTTTGTTAGGGAATTCTGGCAACACTTGTAATGTAGTCAGATGTTAGAATAGGAGCTTTGTTGTGCCAAACCAACGTCTATGACTAGTCGCTGATAAATTTTATATGACAACGGCGTTAAAGATTTTCAATATATAATTCTTTTAGGAATTCTTGCCTTTTTAAATAGAATTTGATTAGTATTTTAATTAAGTTAATAAAATCTGTTTGATTAACTCATTTTGTTCTATTTTTTTTACAATAACTTTTTAAAATGAACATTTTTCGACTTTTATAATAGTTGTTTGTACAAAATAATCGACTTTTTCCAACAAAAAGTCGATTGTTCGTAAAACGTTTCAAAGAACCCTAAACAGCTGTAAATTTTTTGTTTATAACATAGTTACTGCCTATTTAAAGTTGCCGCCACAGTTTTTAGTATTAGTCGCCGTCGTTGTTAATGTTTGTCGGCGCAGGTCTTTGGAGGTTGCTTCCACAGAAAATTTATAAAAAAATATACAGAAATTTTACATTTTATTTTAAAAAATCCACAATTTAAAGCTTAAATTAAATATTATTTTAACATAAAAACATGTCTTCGCGAAGGTAATTGCTAAAAGAAATACAAAATAAATGAAAGAAAAAGAAAATTATAGTCCAATAAGAAAAAAAGTGTATCGAAATATTGAAATGTAGAAGAAAAAAATCGACAAAAAAAATCTTTGCAAAAAAATGTATGTGTGGTTGGTAAACGAATTGAAAAAAAGAAAAAAAATTTTAATAAAATCTGAAGCATAAAATGCTGCTCCCCTTTTTTGGTTTATCAAAAAGAGGGGGCTACAAAAAAGTGAAATTATTTAAATATTAGTGAAAAAATATGCAAAATAAACGTGAAAAAATGTTTAAGCTGCAAAACCCTCTTGATTTGGTATTTGTGTAAAAAAAAGAGGGTTTCGGTTTGTAGAGTGTGTGTGCTGTAATTTTCTAATTGGAATCTGTGTAGTTAAATTACTTTTTAACTTATAGTATATTCCATATGTTTTTTTGTATTCCAGGTTTTTTCTTTTCTGTGTAGAGTGCATTTTTTGTCAACTTTTTTTTGTACAATTTTTTTTTTCATCTGTTTGTCGTTTCGTCCCGTATGTTTGAAACGGCTGTTTCTCTTTTTGACTCTTTTTCTTTTTATAAGACATAGTAATGCCATATGTTTAAATTAGGAATATGACCATTTTTTCAAAGTAAATCGCCATAAATTCCAAACTTTTAAGATAGATAGATAGATAGATAGATAGATAGATAGATAGATAGATAGATAGATAGATAGATAGATAGATAGATAGATAGATAGATAGATAGATAGATAGATAGATAGATAGATAGATAGATAGATAGATAGATAGATAGATAGATAGATAGATAGATAGATAGATAGATAGATAGATAGATAGATAGATAGATAGATAGATAGATAGATAGATAGATAGATAGATAGATAGATAGATAGATAGATAGATAGATAGATAGATAGATAGATAGATAGATAGATAGATAGATAGATAGATAGATAGATAGATAGATAGATAGATAGATAGATAGATAGATAGATAGATAGATAGATAGATAGATAGATAGATAGATAGATAGATAGATAGATAGATAGATAGATAGGATAAGATAGTAGATAGACGATTTCAATTTTCCTAATAATCGGGTTTCATTTGACCTTAGCACCCATATAAAGAAAATAACTAAAGTATTTTAGTGAAATATTATTTTATAAAGAAAGTTCCTACTATTCTCTTCTTAAATACCAAATTTCATTGCAAACGGTCCAATAGTTTCGATATTATGACAATTTCTATATTACTCTTTCCTTTTGTAACAATCCCAGCCAAGTTTTAAGTCTGGTTACTCTAAAAAATTCCCTTTTTAACTGGCAACGCTTTTTTTGTTGTTTCTACTCTTTCGTTGTTTTTGTAAATGTGTGTATGTTTCAGTTTATAGAGTATCTTCAGCTGCTGGTGTTTTTTTGTATTTTTTTTTCTTAATAATGATGATGACGCTGCACAGCTCCTGCTCCTCACACCTCCCCCTATTCCAACATACATACATAGGTTTTTTTAAGCAAAATTGTAATGTTCTGTGCCAGGCCGACAACAACAACAACAATGAAAAACAGTGTGCTTTTTTTTTTGCTACTCTCTACTCGTTGCCCTTTCTTTCTACTCTTGTTTTGCCCCCTTGCTATATGTGTGATTGTTACAAACAAGAAGATGTTTGTTGTAATTCTATTGTTTTTATTTCTATTTTCTTTCTATTCTTTTATTTAAGTTTTTTTTAACGACTAGCCACAAACTAATAAAAAAACTACAACAAATAAACACCGTTGCTAACCCGTCGTTTTAATAGTATTTTTTGTTATTCATATTGTTGTTGTTTTATACTGCCCCAACCAGCACGTACACAGTTTTTGTTGCTAAACACTTGAAAGAAACAAATGTTTACAGCAACATTTTTGCCAACAAAAAACATGTTGATTTAGATTTTGCTTTGTTGACAAACTAACCAACCACCCACCTTTGTTATTGTTTATTTTTTGGATTTTTGGTATAACATGAATGTTTCTTGTTGTTGTTGTTTACATATGTTATACACAAATCCTTTAACAGCTGATAAAGGTCAGGGAATGTGTCAAGTGAAAAGAGAGAGTGACTTTAAAAGGAAATAACAAAATACGAGACAACAATGAAAATGTTGTGTTTGTAATTTAAAGAAAATAAAGGAAAATTTTGATTTTTTATCAATTTACATAGCTGAATTAAGTTTTTGCTCAGCTGAATTAACATTTCATTAGCTGAATTACCATTTTCATAAATTTAATGTAAAAATATTTCATTTTTCTTCTCTTTAAGTTAGCTGAATGGAGTTTTTGCTTAGCTGAATTGCAGTTTTATAAGCTGAATTATCATTTTAATAAATTTTAATCAAGAAAATTTATTTTTTACCAATTAAAGTTAGCTGTAAAGAGTTTTTCCTTAGCTGAATTGCAATTTCAAAAGCTGAATTACAATTATAAGGACATTTTTTTGGTAAAATCTCATTTCTCAATAGTTTAAGTTAGCTGAATAGAATTTTTTCTCCGCTGAATTTCGAAAATTTCAAAAGAATCAAAAAAATTTAATTAAATTAACAATTTTACTTAGCTGAATAGGAGTTTTACTCAGCTGAATTGTAATTTTATTAGCTGAATAGCAATTTCAACAAATTTTATTCGAAAAAATCTATTTTAATTTTATTTAAGTTAGCTGAATTATGTATTTCCTTAGCTGAATTGCAAAAATAATATAATAATTTATAATTTTAAACAATTTACTTAGCTGAATTAAGTTTTTGTTCAGCTGAATTGCAATTTCATTAGCTGAATTCTATTTTAACAAATTTTGTTCAAAAGATTTGAATTTTTCATCTCTTTAAGTAAGCTGAATAGAGTTTTTCCTTAGCTGAATTGCAGAAATTGTGTAAAAATCAATAATTTTAATGTTTTTGTTTTAATTTAATAGATTTTCGGTTAGCTGAATTGCAATTTTGTTACCTGAATTGTAAAATTGTGATATTTACATTATAAAAATTTAAATTTTTTACATTTTCATTTATCTTAATTGAATTTTTCCCAGCTGAATAACATTTTTACAAGCTGAATAGTAAATTTTTGCGATTTATGAGATAAAAATTAACTATTGTAGCAATTTTATTCAGCTGAATGACATTTTCATTAGCTGAATTATATAATTTTAATGTTCACATTAAAAAAGTTTATATTTTTAACATTTTTAGTTAGCTGAATTGTGTTTTTCATTAGTTGTATTACAATTTTATGATATTTTAACCATTTTAGTTAGCTGAATTGACTCTTTTTCCTAGCTGAATTCGTTTTTTATTAGCTGAATCATTAAAATGAGTCATTTTTAGGCAAAAAGTTAATATTTAAGTAAAAATTAAATACAATTTTTTATGCAATCCTTAAATTTGTCTCAAGTGTTTTGTTATTTGACTTAATTTAAAAATATTTTTGAATAATAAAAATTTCCCTTGCTTTTAAAGAATTATGAATTCTATACAGCTAAACAAACATACAAACAGCTAAAGGTTTTTCCCATATTAATTTTTTTCTATAAAAAAATGCTGCTTAAACTTTTATTTTCATTTTTGTTAATATGTATTGTTAAAATTGTTGCTTTCTTTTTTCCAGACTATGAATTTATAAATTCAGCAAAGAAATTTTTTAATAAATTTATCAATTAAGCTAAGAATTTAAAATTCTGCAAAGAATTTGTTAATTCAGCTAAGATTTTATCAATTCAGCTAAGAATTTATCAATTATGCTGTGTATTTATCAATTCAGCAAACAAATTTATAAATAAATTTATCAATTCAGCTAAGAATTTAACAATTCAGCTAAATATTTGACAATTCAGCTAAGAATTTATCAATTCAGCTATGAATTTCTCAATTCAGTAAAGAAATTTTTAAAG